GCGATTTAGAAAGAGAAAAATCCTAGTGTTTCGTGGGTTTGATTTAAAAAGTTGGTGAAGGAGCCACTGTATGGCGAAACGCGTTTACTCGGCAGGTCGGTCAGATCCAAAGTCGGAAAACAAAGCAAGGTGCTGGCTTGTCCAACATCCTCGTCACACTTTACATCGGGAGGCTTACCACTTCATAATATTACATCTTCTAATAATCACTTTCAACGACTGTTTCATTCCATCAAACACCATATTCAGCAAGTCGAATCATAATAGCCGCAAAATATTTTTTGCTTCGAGTGACCAGTCGCAGCAAATTTTCTCGTCAAAACTTTGCTAGAGCCATGAAACAGAAGAACATATCCTTGCACGAGCTTACCGCTCTTCAAGTGAACTTTAGTGGCGAACGAGCGCGGCATCCAATTGCCCGTACCTCAAAGAAGATATCCGGAAACCCTGATCACCTCGGCAATATAATCAACACTCGACCGTTCGTCAACTCAAGAAAGAGGAGCAGAAATCAAATGGAAGGTTCTGCTTCCGCCAGTGAGTCGATTCAGGCTGAGTCCGAGCATGAGGAAACAAGCCGACGCAAGAAGCGACGGGGGGACAGGTACTTTCCGGAGGTATTGCCTTATTTACATCCTCCCGCGGCCTCAGACAATACCAGAGAAGGTCACTTCGCGAGTTACTCTGGCGATAGTCTACCCTCGTCTGTAAGATCTACTTGGTTCTAACTTCACTCCTTTTATCCTGATAATATTTGTAGGATCTTCTTAAGACCATCCATCACTTTGCTAGCAACTACTATGCTCAACGTGGACTATTAAAAGGCGCCTCACGTACGAAAAGGGCAGGATCCTCCCCAAATGGCAAGCAGGCTGACAGCGAATTACCATCTGATTCTTCTAGAGACTTCAGCAGCCAAGAAGAGAGAACTGAAGAAGACGAGGAATCCTTATCATCCTCATTGAACAAAGGAAAGGAGAAAGAGGTGAAAAGTCGAGAGAAAGGGAAGGATTTGCAGAGATTTACCCATATGGAGAGTCTTGGAGTTCTTCCACTTGATATCTCGTCTCGCAATCAAGAGCCTTTCTCGAACAAAGTCAAAGACATGTATCGGGCGTTCGATGGTTCGGCATTGCTACTCATCGGTGCGTCTTTTATCACTTCCATGTATCAAGACTTATTCTTCTCATGAAACGTAGGTGTATTATTACAATATCACATTACCTCTATGTTCCACCCTGTATCCTCCAACAGTGAACAGGAACGAGAACGAAGGCATCGTGCCGGACCTAAAGAACGACAGAAGGACCAAGAGGCTATCGCAAGAAGTATTCATTCGTCCTCAAGTTCAGAGACCTCTACGACATCGAGTCAAGGGGGAAGCAGTAGCGAGGAGATAATCGAAGGACAAGGCAATAGTCAAGAGCCTATGGATAGCATGAGGGAAGACGAGAGAGAAAAGAGTTCTGAGTCTGGCTCAAGGTCACGGGAGGAAACTAGTCATGACGAAACGACTAATAGCGACACAGAGACAGAGGGATCAACGAATTCCACAGACACATCATCCTCGTAGTCCTCCTTGGAACACCGTTGCATTCTAATACCCGTAGTATTTGCTGCATGATATATAGCCCTTTTTTCTTTTCACTCATCAACGTGGTCCAGCCTATTTTTGCTGAAGCAGCCATTGTACACATAGTCCAATCAACTGTAGAGCTAATACACTTAAACTCGAAATAAAGGAATTTTGTAGCATTTCTTGGCCGCGCTATCAATATAAGCGCTATCGCTTACCTTTATAACCCAATAACTGTCTGAATTAGCCAAAGGTGCTTCCCAGCCTCTCATCTGATCAGGCCCGATCGATTTGAAAGCTCGATCACCCCAGTTCGGCCATGCACTTTCCACCAGACAACTTCCATCAGTTAAACGAGATTTAATTTGACCATCAATTGAACACTTACGGTTAGATTTCACATAGTGATTTACACCTAAACGTGCAAGAGCATGTCTCTGTCTCTAGCTTATCATCATACTCGATCAAAGGAGGTCACAAGCGCAGTCTCTTGACTATATATTACATCATCAAAATAGACTATCGGAGGCGTAAGAAGTGTCTGGGAGGTTGCGTCAGACTTGGATCCCGTGGCCAGTCGTTCCTTCGGAATCTGCCGTGTCTACGGAACAAGACAATTGGAGACACACACGCACACAATTAGAGAAGATTAAGGCCCAATTATCTGTAAAGAAGCCCCTATGGCGAGGTCATACTAATAGGCCGACGCACTCTTGAAGTGCACAAATATGCTATAACCATAAGCATGGTCAACTACTTCAATGGAAGGAAATTTATGGCCTCGTTTTTACGCCAATTTCCCTCATGGCCCCATGTCAGTCTCCAGATGGGGCGATTCGAATTTTTGCCTTTGCCAGTCTCCCATCGCGTCTTCCAACCATACGCACCCCGTGTGCTTTCATCGACGGAGGGGTAATGTCGTCTCCACTCTATGATAATCTGCTCTACGATGAAAGATGTCTCCTACCTAAAGGCCCAGTGCACAAACAAGGTCGGGAGGTGGCACCAACTCTCAATAACCACTGACTGTCTCCTTAGATCTTGGGCAAACCCCGATTACACTACCATTGGCGGCTCTACGTGATGGCGAGAACTACATTAATCCCGCGACCTCTGCACTCACTGCCGTTTTGGGTGACACCACTGAGGAAAAGCATCTTATGAAGTGCTATGGGCGTGACTATTCTGAAGTAGGTCTCTATTTCAGTCCATTAGAGTGACCTGATGATCATTTAATATAATTTAGAGTGGTCAAAGTGAGCGACTGTTCTCTCTAACATGACATTCCTAGGCTTACCCGAACATGTTCTTAGTCCCACACACACCAAGAGCCGCCCGTAAACCAAACTTGACATTTGCTTATGTGCCAGTACTTCCACTCCTGGAGGACCAAACTTCATCCCCTTCTAGCTCTACAAGTGGAAAGCAACAAAATAGGCAGTTCGCTAGTCTCCCTGCGATTGAGGTGACGAACTTTGAAGGTATGTATCCAATTCTAAATCAAACCTCCTTAGGCTAAGACGTATTTACATTAGATTTTGGCAATTTACCCGAGATGACACCATTACACTGTCATGAAAATCACGATAATAGTCCAAACAGCTGTCATAAGCACAAGATGGGCGAAGATCAAGGCCAAAGTCCTAGATTTCTACATAATCATCGAAGCTTGCCGTCTTTCTCTGAAACAAGAAGGAAACCATCAACATATGTCACATTCAAATCGCCCGAAAAGAAGAATATATGGCCTAGCCGGGCAGAATTATACCCACATAGGGATACTTCTATACTTGCAAGAATGACGGAGACCGAATTTAACACTGCGTCGAAGCGAAGAAGGGCATCTGTGGATGAAGAAACCCCAAGAAAACTGATGAGAGGTGGATCAAGCCTTAGTAATGCGCGGTTACTTCTAGACCCCGATGCCCGAGGGGGGGTTAGGTTGTAGCGAAATACCACTGGAAAGCTTCAATGGAGCACTTAGTCCTGTATTTTCTGTTGCCACCCCTGCATCTTCAGTGTCAAGTCTATTGACCGTGGCGAGAAGTCCAGATTCAGGTACAAGTGGTCCTCCAAGTGTGGTGACTAGCCCGTCTCTTGCACAATCTTGGGATTCGGATGGCCTTCAAGAACAAGTCACATGGAGTGCAGATGCATATCTGGTATCACTAAGAAACTCATACGCGGGAATAGGAAATACCACCAGCTCGTTACTGAAAGAGTATCGGTGCACGGGCCAAGGGCTAGAATACGGTCCCGATTTCTCTCCTGATAGATCTCCCCTAGCGGAGTTTTCTGATGGACCCGAGGAAGAATCAATGAATGAATTCTTGGAGGGTTGTTTCAATAAACCTGGGGAAGAATGGAAGAAAGAGGCATTAGAAAAGATACGGAGATCTTCTTTTTTACGAGAACAAAGGCCGGAACCTGTGAACCAAGGACCGAACGACCCATATACCAAAGGACATGGCAAGAAGGATCTGAGTATTTATGAGGTATTTGTCGACGGCTCGAGCAAGGATGGTTGGAAATGTCTTTTGGGATCTGAACAACGGCCATGTAAGGCTAAAGTAGTATTCAAACGGTTTGAACGAGCTATGGAGCATATCAGAAGTCATTTGAATCACAGACCCTTCAAATGTAGCGGGAGATGTGGAACTACACGTTGGTTAGTTTGGCTCTTTTAACTATTTCTCTACATGTGCCTTTGAATTAGGATCACCGCATGCCACGTATCTCTTTATGCTATATGGACACAATACTCATGATATAACTCCTTAGTCAAAGGAGCTTTTTCGCTCAACAATATCTACGGGACCATGTCGGCAGAAAGGATGACACTAATTGCAAGTATTGGTCAGTATCCGGTGTTTAGCGGTTATGATTACTCTTTAGCTAATGGTTCAAATAGCAATAAGACTATGAGGACTCAGAACTTGTCGCGTCACTATCTCTTTTGCCGCAAGAAGGAAGGAGGATTGGGAGCTTCTATGGATATAGTAACAGCACAAGATGATGAACGGCCAAAGTAATAGAAATAGTAGATAAGAAATTCCTTGGATGTTCTCTGAAAGTTTCGTGTGTCCGTTCGGATCTAGATCTCGTACTGGGCGGTCGTATGCATACCCGACAAGCCTGGATTCACATAGGACCTCACCCGCACTTATGCTATGTACAATGCCTGGAGATTCGTCTTGGGGTAGGTTTGGATCGGACAGTTTGGCTTAACGTGGCGGCACTTTCTCATGTAACGATATCAATAACGACAGAGAAATAGGATTCTGTTCAGGAAAGGAGAGATGAACCCATGAAGGTGATCCAAAAAGGTATATGGATCAGTTCAAGAACGGATCCCTATTGCTGGACGCTATGAACCAGGCGCCCATCACATGCCGAGCTAAAAGCAGTGAGACACCTTCCTGGGTCCCGCTCCGCCTTGTTCTCACCAAACGTTTGATTCGAGGAGATCGACCGCGCCTCGACGAGAATTTGTCAGAAATATTCTCGTGTATATCTTTGTTGAGGTACGTAGGGTGGCCATCTCAGAAACCAACCTAGGGATGACATCGGGTTGATAGATTCCTCAGCCACAGGGCGCTTAGATGAATTGCCTGGTTCTCTTGACTGTATTGTTATTTGTAGCCATATATTGAATTAAGGGTACGTCCGAAAACAGAATGGGAGGTGGGAAGTGGAAGAGCTACGGCAACCTATGAGATTTCGAGATGCCGGATTCGGCGAGTTAGTTGTCCATCGCTAGCTTTCTCTTCCCATATCACGGCTCGGAGCAACACTTAAATGGCATACTGTACCAATTGAGAGGGCGTTTGTGCAGTATGCACTATCACTTCCTCGGAGCAGAGCTGAGACTGTCGTCGTCATATCACGGAGCGGAACATCTTTGAGTCGGCGAGTTTTGTATGCACATTGCGGCTGCAGTAATCTTGCTGGGGGCGCAACTGGTGCGGGTCACTGCAGGGTTGATGGGGGGAATCAATGATCGAGTTCTGCGCCGAGATGAATCTGATCGACTATCGTGCATCATGATAGGGACATTCGAAGGTCGGTACCGTTTGCTTTATCATATCATGGGTCGGAACTTGAACTGTATGGTATCAAGCGTTATGTCGTAGCTTGAGGCTGGCATACCTCCAGTCTGCATTGCCCGTTTACCCTCGATATGACGTGTATAGGATGGCGACATACGCCTCCATGCATGCCGAAGAAAATCCACAACCCCACCAGAGTTCGTTCCGTGTCGGTTATAATCGACGGTGACGGTGTAAGTTTGTCTTTGTCGTGCTCGATCGAGTGAGGCGAGTGTAAGTTTTGGTCTAGCCTCGTCAGACTGTCGGGTCTTTCCATGGAAAATAAGATAAGAGACAGGAGATGTCAATCGAGATTCTAAGGTAACATTCGACGCGGGGTACAGGTTGACTCCAGCCTCCGCCACCAGCCTTAAGGCCATTCACCTTTATCCTTTTTCTCCACTCTAACCGCCCAAGCACCTTCTTACATAAACCCACCCACCCAAGGCCAGCTTCCCATCTACTCCTCTCTCCCCTCCATCCATCTCCTTTCTTCATCGCACAAAGACCGCCTTATTCCAGATCGATCGACCGATTTCTTTTGAATCCGTTGCGGACAGGAGCAGAATCGCCAACTCCCGACCCGGATAATCCTCGACGTCCACATCACGCGCTATAACGGAGGGCATAGATGCAATCCCCAGGAGGCTTCAGCTGGATCACTAACGTTGCCGCCAATGGCTTGACCAACTACGACCCGCCAACACGTATGTACCCCCTTTTTCTTCTGTAGTCATCCCGATCGAATCTCACGTCAAATGACCTCCTTTCTATTATTGCTTTGTTCTATCCTCCCCGATCGATATTTGGAACAAAAACAAACGCGGTTACAGCACCGCAGCATCAGCTGCCGATTACTCTGCCAGTCTCGAGTTACGACCCCGCTGCCCACACGCCCAGCACCTCTTTCTTAGCCGCCGGCTTCAGAGGATTTGCCAACGAGATCACTCCCTCGTTTGCTAACAGCATAGATGGATCAGGGGGACCCACCTTAGCCCACAAACTGAATGCTATTGAGCAACACCGTTCATCGTGGGGAGGGTTTGCGCTCAACCAAGGATTCTCGCCCGTAGATGGCTACAGCGGACCTGTGGTCTATGACAGCGAGGGTCGGTCTTTTGTCTATTCTTGGTTGCTTGGCGCCTCCTGACCCATTGTTCCACACCTATAGATACCGACTACCAATATATACGTCTTCCCTCCCGACATGCACTACCTATCATTCCCATCTATGACACCCCCGTCCAATCTTCACCTTGTAAGTGCTTGCATGCATCTTAAGGCTACAACTGACGCCGTCCATGACAGCGTCCTATGTAGCTCCCGTCCCCATGCCAGACGTCGACTACTTGGGATCCTCTAGTCTCTACCCAGAGCCTTCTATGCCTCTCACTGTCCGACAGACCGACTATCCCCAACATCAAATGCAGCATCAGCAACCAAGCGTCGGTAGTGATGAAGGTGCGTTATCATCTCTTCGGCTCCTCCTAATAGTCGGTGCTTCTAAACCTTCTTTCCTTCCCTCTAGATCCCTGGATTGCAGTCATGGAAAACGTATCGAGATTAGAACAAAGCAATCCTATCTCCCAACCGGCCAATCCCATTCACTCGGCACTCACACTGAATGGTGTGCCCCAGACTCGGCCGGTGCCCAATCAAAGGCCACAACCCCAAATGATGAATCCACAAACACCTCGACTTCCCCCACCAGCTCCACCCACGCGAACATCCTCTATTATTGCTTCCACCCAACTCCAGCCACCCCATCTTTCCCAATCGGTCGCTCTGCCGCAACCGCCCCAGCCTCACTACAACTACTCCCCACCCGACATACCGGACGAATTAACCCAAATTGTGGAAGCCGCGACATTCGACATGGTCATGGAGGACCGATTAAACACCGGTGCA